TACGTGTTGTTGTTTTTGCAAAAACGATTAGATTTAGTGTAGTGATGCGTGCAACTCTCTGGGTGCAAAGTCTCATTTATTTCTAATCTAAAAGTAGAATCAGCCAAATAAAGAAATGAATGAATTTTAATAGCATTGCACTTGCATTGGACCTTTTTAGTAAACACACACGCCCTCCTTTTTCACTTATCAGATGTCTAAGCTACTCGTCAATCTGGCACTGCTCAACACGAAGGCACTGGTCAATCTCTACACGATATCGACACTCCCTTTTTATGCGGCATTCCAACGCCCATGGCGCAAACTGAAGCTCTCAAAGACTTTTGGCGTTACCAAGGAAGTGCAAAAGAATGGCAGTCGCATCATCTACTCTCGACCGAAGGAGGCGGACATTGGTCGTCACCCGTACTGCCGCTACTCGACCTTTCCGGAGGCGTTTGCCAGTCTGGCCGGTAGCACCAAGCCGGCTATTGGCGTCCGCGAGGTAATTCAGGAGACGGCGGCCGTGGACGAGGCCGGCAAGCCGGTGCTCGTTGAGGGCAGGCCGCTGATGAAGGTGCAGCTGGCGAAGGAGTACCAGTGGCTGACGGCGGCCGATGTCATGGCCAAGGTGGACTGTCTGGCGCGCGGTCTACGGGAGATGGGCATTGGCAAGGGCGACCATGTGCTGATCTACGCGGAGAATGGCGTCCAGTGGTTCTACACCTGTCTCGCACTGGCCCGACTCAATGCCGTCATGGTGACGCTCTTCTCAACGCTCGGAGACAGCGGCGTCGTCTACGGCATGAACCAGTCTGACGCCCGCTTTGTGGTCACCTCGGAGTCGCTGCTGCCCAAGCTGAACGCTCTGTCGGGACAGTTTCAGCACCTGCAGAGTATCGTCTACATTCGCGATGAGAAGAAAAAAGCGGTGGATTCGCTCAAAACGGTGGAAACTGAGCGACTGGTTGAGCAGCTGAAGGAGAAGAACTTTAGCGTGACGCCCTTTGACCAGGTGGAAGCGGTGGGCGCCAAGGTGGCTCCCTGTGACTTTCCCCCGCCACATCCCAATGACATTGCAGTGATTATGTACACATCGGGCACAACCGGTGACCCGAAGGGAGTGATCATCCCCCATCGCCAACTGAACGCCAGCATCAAGAACCTTCTTCGAATGGACGAGGAGATTGGCAGCTTTGCCTTCAGTGGTCAGGTGTCTGCGGCATACTTGCCACAAGCTCACCTCTTTGGTTACCTGTTGAATTTATCGGTTTTTTGCAGCGACTCTAAACTCGCCTTTAGCAGTCCGCTGACGCTGCTTTCCTCATCTCCTGCCCATGTGAAGGGACAGGATGGCGACATGAAGTAAGAGATTGGGAAGGACAACCTGCTGAACATAACCAGTGCTAATCTCTTTCTCCACTAGGCACATTCAACCGCAGTTTTTCATTGCTGTGCCCCTTGTTCTAGAGCGCATCCTCAAGGAGATCTACCGAAAGCTGAACGCGAAGAGTCCACTCGCGGCACCGCTCTTTGACTACGCCATGCAGTACAAGATTCGCTGGACGCAACGAGGCTTTGACACGCCCATCATCAATCGGCTGATTTGCAAGAAGATCAACGAACAGTTTGGCGGCAAGCTGAAACTGATTGGAGTCAGCAGCGCTCCGTTGGCCGAGTCGACACACGCCCTTGTTCAGGCAGCGCTCAATGTGAACGTAGTAAACGCCTACGGGGCCACGGAGACCTGCGGCGGTAGTCACATGCTTCATGTAGATGACCTTGCTAGCTCGTGTGGAGTCCCATACTCTTCGTCAAAGTTCTACCTAAAGAGCTGGAATGAGGGCGGTTACTCCACCGAGGACAAGCCCAATCCGAGAGGGGAAATTGTGCTGGGCGGCGATACTATTGCAAGTGGGTACTACAAGATGGAGGAGGAGACGAAGCGAGCCTTTGAGGTGGACGAGAATGGTGAGATTTGGTACAGTAGCGGAGATATTGGTGAAGTGCTGCCCAATGGAACGCTCAAAATTATTGGTAAGTTTGGAAGAGTTTTTACTTGTAGTAAGTTTTTAACTCTCTCATTTTCAGATCGCAAGAAAGACCTGCAGAAACTGGCCAACGGCGAGTTTGTTTCTCTAGGCAAGATTGAGTCGGGTTTGCGAAACTCGCCTTTTGTGGAGAACATTTGCGTGTGCACGGATCCTTTCAGCAATCACCTCACTGCGCTCGTTTCGCCCAATCGAAAGGCTTTGGAGGAGTTGGCCGGTCAGTTGCAGTTGCAGCAGCTGTCTACTTTTGAGCAGATTTGCGCCTCCCCCGAAGTGGTCAACCACGTGCAAAAGTCACTGAAAGCGCTGTGCAAGCAGCTGGGCTTCAAGATCAGAGAGGTCCCAGTGCAGATCACCCTCGTCACTGAAGAGTGGAGTCAGGATAATAATCTGTGAGTTTTAAGAAAGGATTAGATTTTAATAATGCTAACAAACACTTTTTTCATTTAACAGTCTCACGGCCGCTTTTAAACTGAAGCGAAAGCAGGTGACGGACTTTTATGCCTCTCAAATTCGTGACATGTTTGCCCTGGCCAACGCTTCCGGTGAT